CTTTAATCCCAGCACTTGGGAGGCAGAGGCAGGTGGATCTCTGAAGTTCGAGACCAGCCTGGTCTACAAGAGCTAGTTCCAAGACGGCTAGGACTGTTACAGAGAAACCTTGTCTTGAAAAACCGAAATAAATAAGTATTAAATAAAGAAACAAACAACCACATCTTTATACCCAGACTAACCTATGATTAGGACAAGAATACTATCTTGTGTGTTTACCAACTTTCATTATACATACTTTCATGTATGTGCACTTGATAAAAGAACATTGCATCTTGGCCAAGCTAGTGGAAGGTTACTACCTAAGTATTCTTTTCCGGAAGTTAGTAAGGCCCAAAGTCAATGAAAGAGGCCTATTTGTGTCTGACCCCAGGGCAGCAAACCCTAGATTCAAATTCAACTTGGCTAACACCAGAATCAAACAAGGACTCCAACACTAACAGGGATCCACATTCTCAGCATTTCTCTAGAACTCCAGCACAAGTTGGAACAGCGCTTCTCATGATTCATCTGGTGCAGAATTATACCATGTCAAGTAGGAAACAACGCATTCCAGCATTTTCCGCAGGACTTTTAGGTACTACTTAAGCTTTTTCTTTTTTAAAAATTGGTATTTTTGTTGTTGTGTGAGACAGGGTATGTATGTAGCCCTGGCTGGCCTAAAATTTACAAAGATCTGCCTACCTCTTTGGGATTAAAGGTGCCACAATGCCCAGTTTGGCAATCCTAACCAATAAAGGGCAAGGTACGGAGTCTGGGGGAGCTCTAAAAGGTGTGATTTACAGGGCGGCAACACAACAGCTTTGTTGTCCCTTAAAAGAATCCTCTACAAAGAGGTTACAGACAGACAGTATGGTCCAACTAAGGCCTTCCAAAGACCAGAGAACAAGAACGCTATGGTTTTCTATAGTACAGTCCCTACAATCTGCCAACCAGCCATGCCATCAAGTCCACATTACATTTTCTCAAACTAAACCATGGCTAAAGCAGAAACCAGAAAGGGAAGAGAGTTATCTTTAAAGATCTAGTGGCAATGCAAAAGGATGTCAGCAATGCTTCCAACAGTCCTTTACAAAGTACATGCTAAACCAAGTATCTCAATTTCACAAGCGTGTGTAAAACTTACATAAAAATATAAATTTTACAAATATATATAAATTTCAGGTGTAGTCACTGTCTAAAAAGCTTTGCCTAACCTGTGCTCCTCACGAGGCCTGACAAAGAGACGATGCCATTTTGTCAATCATGCCTCCAGTACTTACTGCATTTGTATTTAAAAATCAAAGGCCTCGCAAAGCCAGAGAGTTAAGATTTTGTAATCCCAGCACTCTTGAAGCTGAGGTAGGAGGACCACTTTGAATCAGAGGCTATTATGAATTACATAGTTATAAAACAAGATCATGTTGTGAGTGAGAGGGAGAAACAGAATTTTGGCAGTTATTTTTCTTGTCACCAAAATCAGTTTTGGCATATTACAACTAAACCAGCTATGGTATTACCTAGGATCTTAAATGACCTTTTAATATAAAAGAACACTCAGAAGTCAATGGCTTTTCACTTAGTAAAGTACAATTATTCAGGAATAATTTTAGAAACTCCAACAAAATCTAATCACTTTGTTTTGAGACAGGGTCTCCTTGTGTATTCTAGGTTTGTCACAAACTCCAGACTCTCCTGTGGGGGTTACAGGCATGTAACTCTTAGAACGTTTTAGATCATCTAGCGAGGACTCAGAGGAGAGCATGTTAGAAGGTCCTGAGTTTAACCCTCAGTCTCAGAAGGGAGTGGGGAGGGTGTGTTGGAGAAATTACAACTCCTGAAGTTAATAAGCTATTCTGTTATTACCCCGAGACCCCCAACATCTATGTTGTCCAAGCTGGTCTTGAACTCCTAGGTCTACTGAGCAATGTTCTTGCCTCAGCCTCCTAAATAACTGGAACTACCCGTAAGGGACTTACTTTGTTGAGTTTTCAGGGGTTTTACAGCATGAAGAACAGAGAGATATTTAAACATCCAACTGTCTAGTGTCATTGCTACAGCCATCAACAGAAATGAAATCATGTTTTCTGTATGAATGCTTGTGAGGACTTTTACTGACATTTTTCATTACAGAGTCCATCCTATGTATTTGATGAAAGAGTTGTCTTAACATTTCAAGATAAGAGTAGAAGTACATACAAGAATAAATGCTGCAATATATTTGCTAAGTATTTTTTTTCAAAAGGGTTGACCTTTGAATCTTAATGAAATGGCAGGAAAACAAGGAAGTTAAAAAGCACATTGAAAAAGCATTAAGGTTTTAGCAACTTGGACCAAAGCCAGTAAGACAGAACTGATAACTCGTAGAATATTATTTTCTGCTTCCTGTTTAGAGACTAAGTCACAGGCTTTATATGAAGAAACATAACTTACCAAATGGTACTTTTTATTAAGGTATAGTGGATAGCATTTGTATGTATTAAGGTCTATTAAATATCCTTGGTACACTAGTGATTATGTGCTCTGGCCAGACAGCTGCTTATTCTGATATAGTCACCACTACTTGAGCTTTTAATGTTAAGTGGGGCTTGGGCTAAGGTTCAGCAGTTAAGAACACTTGCTGCTCTTGCAGATAATCCAGGTTTGGTTCTTGGTTCTTTGCACCCACAAGGCAGATGACAGCCTGAGCCATCTTTGTAACTCCATTGCTAGATCTGACACCCTCTTCTGGCCTTCTTTGGCACTGAACACAGGTGGTGGCTACAAGAAGGTACAACACTCATCACAAAATAAACACATCTTTTAAAAAAAATCTATTAATGTATAACCAGCCCGGCGGTGGTGGCGCATGTCTTTAATCCCAGCTCTCAGGAGGCAGAGACAGGTATCTCCGTGAATTTGAGGTCAGCCTGGTCTGCAGAGCGAGTTCCAGGGCAGGCTCCAAAGCTACAGAGAAATCCTGTCTCGAAAAAAATAAAATAAAAATTTTTTAAAAATATGAAGAAACTGTAAAGTTTGGGGCTATCAAGATGGTTCACGGGTTAAGAGCACTGGCAGCTCTTCCAGAGGTCCCGAGTTCAATTCCCAGCAAACACATGGTGGTGCACAACCATCTGTAATGAGTTCTGGTGGCCTCTTTTGGTCTGCAGACACACATGCAGGAAGAACATTGTATACATAATAAATAAATCAATATTTAGAAAAAAATTACAAAAAGAGATGATCTGTTTGGGGGGGGGGGCTGGTAGTGGCACCAGGACCTATCCCAGGTGCATGAACTGGCTTTTTGGAGCCCATTCCCTATGGTGAGCTATCTTGCTCAGCCTTGATATGGGGGGAGGTGCTTGGTCCAGCCTCAAGTTAGTATGCCAGACCTTGTTGACTCCCCAAGGAAAGCCTTACCTGCTCTGAGAAATGGATGGGAGATGGGAAAAGGGGAGGTGAGAGGGGGATGAGAAAAGGGGAGGGAGAAGAGGAAGGAGGGGGAACTGCGGTTGGTATGTAAAATGAAAAGATTTTTTAATGAGGAAAAAAAAAGTCTGTATAACCAGAATGACCTGCTTCACTGAAGCGCCTTTCTTTTCAGCTATAAAAACGACAGTACCTAAGAGCCCCATAAGCTTAAAGCTTGGGAAAACCAGCTTTAATATCTTCTGCTGAAATGAATGGTCTTTCAGTGATCTTAATTTAGTTTTTCAAAGTACGCCTTCAACTCACTTCTCAACTACCAGGAAGATTAATACACAAAAGTATATGTGCTGGCAAACAACAACAACAACAAAAAAGCCCCAAACAGGAAAAACTAAGAAAGTGCACTAAAAAAACAAACCAATCTTTAACTTGTAGGCGAATAACTTCACGCTATTTTTTTTAAAGGTAAAAGCCATCTTTTTAATCTTAAGTGGCAAGGGGTAGACTTTAAATCCCAATAAAGATACGAAAATCCAAACCCTTATCAATCAACCAGCTGGTGGACTTGCCCGGTGTCGGCAGTAACAGTAGCACGCCCTTTAGAACAAAAGTAATCATTAAAATCCGTTAGAGTGGACACGGAGGCTTCCCCCAAACGTGGCCTTGTGGTTCATCCTTTACTACCTAAGCCTGCACAGATAAGGCAAGAACAAGTTGGCAGCAGCGCACGTCGTCCCGCTGTCCGGTCACTTTGTGTCCTAAGCCCGTCCGCTCGGGGTTCGCCCTGGCCTCCCCCGGGGCACGCCCCGCTGCTGCCCCCCCCCCCCCGCGGCGCCCACGTCCTCCAGGTCACCTTCAAGCGAGGGCGGGAATAGGCGGCACGGGCCACCCTGCCACCAGTCCCCACCAATAAAAACTCGGCACCCGCCGCCCGGGTCCCGCCTGCAGCGCCCAATCCGGGCCTCCCGAAAGGTCTTCGCCTCGGGTGTCCGGGACTTGGGGGCGGGAACATTGAGAACTAAATTAAGAAGCAGAGCCCGGCGCAGAAGGAAGCCGGCGAGCGGGCGGGGGCTCCCCCGGGACCGCCCGCAGCCGCGCTCCGGGTAAACAAAGGCCCAGCGGGGGCGGGTAACGGTCAGGTGACCACGCCTAGCAGGTTTCGCAACAGCGCGGCGAGCGGCTGTGGCCCCAGCACCCCGATCCTCTCCGTGCTCGGCGACAGCACCCACGGTCGCCCTCACCCCACGGAAACTCCAGATCCGAGGCCGCAGCACTCTGGACGCTTCCGTCCGAAGTGCAACGCCTCCGCGGAGCTCGTCCCCCGCCCGGTCCCCACACCCGAGGCCGTGCCGGGCTTCTGGCTACCGGGGACCTCGCCTCCCTCCCGCAGGTGCCTGGAGCGGTCACCCCGGTACCTCTCGGCGCAGGTTGGAAGCTGCACAAGCGGCGACCCCGCGGTATCTGGTGCGCCGCGTCTCCTGGAGCCACCAGTCTTTGCCACTGCTCACAACAAAGGAAACATGTGACCGTTGGGCCAAAACACTTAACGTCACCCACCCTTGGCCAATGAGGAAGAGGCAGCCCCTTCCCGGAGCACACTGGGCGTTGTAGTTCTTACTCATGCTGGATTCCCGGGCCACTTGGGTTCCGCTAGAGGGCGAAATCTATCCCCGGCTGCTAAGGCGAAACATTTATTTAAGGTAGAATGAGGTTAAAGGAATGCATCTTGAACAAGGACCGAATGGTATGTTGATTGTCTTCAAAGAGCCCTCTACATCCCAAAGCACAAGACCAGGATTTAGTCGACCTTAGAGCTTGGACTAAGGCTTGTTTGTTTTAATTAATTCTTTCTAACACACTTGGAAAATGTAAGGGCCTGAGAGGAGGAATGTACTGCCATCAGTGCTGAGGAAGCTGTCTTTCTTTGTAAATCTGTTAAAGTCGCTTGTATCAGACCCTTTGCTGCCTTTTTGTTTTAATCACACGCAGGAGTCGAACAAAAGTTAAAACAAAACTTGATTTTCCAAGGTACATAGAACTTCTTTCAAGACATTGTTTTATTTCTATCTTGAAACGTTTTGGTTAGTTCTGGTTTCTGATATCAAAGTTGTCATGCCCTTCTTTCTGTCTGCACTTCATTAATACAGCCATGACTCTGGGAAGGAGATGTGTTGCTACAGGGTGGAGATAATGAGGAGAGTGGACATCCAGGGCATTTACTATGCTTTTAGGTCTTTTCAGCTTCTATTAACCTTAAAAAAAAAATTACGTATTGAGTGCTTCCTGTGGGAGGGGAAACATCTCTGACTCCTCTAGGGCTTATGGCCAGGACTGCAATAAAACTGTTAGTCACTCTGGCTTGACCTGTTGTCACTATCAGCTTTGAGAATCCTGTGGTTGGCTCTTGTCAGGGGATTCATTTTCATATTCTCTCCCCTCTCTCCTCCTCTCCTCTCCTTTTCTCCCACTATTTCCTCCTTCCCTTTTCTCCCCCCTCCCCTCCAAGTTTACTTAAACAAGACACTTAACTTGAAGGAAAACTATCTAGGATTCATTTTTAAAAATTATTTTTATTTTTTTATTCTTTGTATGTGCGTGTCTGTACTGGGTATATGCATCTGCGTGCAGTTGCTGGTGGCCATCAGAGGCATCGGATCCTCGTGGAGCTGCAGTTGTGAGCTAGCTGCCTGATGTGGGTGCTGGGAACCGAACTCCAGACAGAGTAGTAAGTGCTCTTAGCCACTGAGTCATATCTCTAGCTCTATTTAAATTTGCTTTTTAAGGATTTTTTTTAATTAATTAATTAATTTATTTATTTCAAGACAGGGCTTCTCTGTATAACAGCTCTAGCAGTCCTGGAACTCACTCTGTAGACCAGGCTGGCCTCAAACTCCCAGAGATCCATCTGTTTCTGCCTCCCTAGAACTAGGATTAAAGACATGAGCCACCACCAGCTTTTAAAAGTTTTATTTTCTGTGTTCTAGTGTTTTACCTGTATCTGTGCATGCATTGCCCACGGAGGCCAGAAGAGGGCATCAGATTACCCAGAACCGGAGTTAATGAGGGTTGTGAGCCCTCATGTGTGGGTGCTGGGACTCTAACCTTCTTCCTCTGGAAAAGAAGCCAGATATGTATATGTTTATGCGCCTGAGTATATGCATGTGTACCATGAGTGCAGGAAGAAGGGCTTGGGTATCCTGGAGCTGGAAGTGCGAGTGCTGGAGCCGGCTCTGGTCCTCTGAAAGGGCACTACACAATCCTAAGCACTAATCCATCTTTCCAACTCCTCCTGCGCTGTTCCTTCCTTTTATGCTTTGTCCTTAAGAAGGAAATAAATGAAAAGTAGAAAGATATATACTATCCCTTACATTGACTTGGAGAAAAAAGTTTTTAAGAAAGAAACTCAGAAATCAGAGCTAAAAGAAGTCACAGAAATAAGAATATGTTAACTACAGACATAGCTGAAGGTAAATGTAAGCTTCACATGTCTACAGAAAAAGGTTTTCTGAAGCTTGCTTCCCTGTATCTTGTTTTGTTTGTTTGTTTTTGGCTTTGACACAGGGTCTTCCTCTATAGCCCAGGCTGTCCTTGAACTCACTATGAAGCCCAGGCTGGCACTGAACTTGTGGCAGTTCTCCTGCCTCAAGTGCTGGGGTTACATATATGAGCCACCTTGCCTGGCTTTAAAAAATGTTCTTCATTTATTTGATTGTTTCTTGTTATGTAACTTAAGCTGACCTTAAAACTCAAGGCAATCCTCCTGCCTCAGTTTTCCAGGTGCTAAATTTATAGACATGTACTGCCCCACCAGGCTTCTGAAGATTCTCTTTGAACTTGATAATCTATATTCTACAATTTTTTACAAAGGACATTACCAGAGAAGAGGGTTTACTCTTTGTGATGAAGAAATATAATTTGTTGTAAACTATACTGCATTTAATAATGTTGAGAAAGACCCAAAATAGCTAGCTAGGAAAGGTAATTTGATAGGCTAGCATCATGGAAATATGCTTTACAGACCTTAATAACCCTTCTGACAACTGCAGTTTAAAATGTTTTTGGGAAACTACAATGAAACAACAAATGGCTTATCTATAAACATCGGTATACTAAAGCTACTGTAATTTTAAAAATAAAACAAAACTAGCCCACTGAGCACCCACCCTGAGTCCTGACCTCTGAAGGTGTATGGAAGTGTGCCTCTGCCCCTAGAATATCTTCACACAAAGGTGACAGCACAGCGTAAGCCCTGGTTGACTCTGAGCTGTAGAACACAAGTCCAAGAGTCAATGGTGGAAGAGCTTACTTTTCTTCTAGTAATCATTCGACTTTAAAAGATCTATTATGTACATGTGTGAAGTTCTAAAATAATAATTTTATTTAGCCTTCGGTAGTGCTGAGTGCTGGGCAATGGAATTTAGGGCATCACACACGCTAGACGAGTCTTCTGCCCCTGGGCTTTCACCTCAAGCCCCTGAATGTTTCTTTTAAAAGTATTTTAAAAGCTATGCCTGTTTGCTTCCAGTTTTAGATGACTCTGTAACTGGCCTAGAAAAGGCTGAGCCCTCCCAGGTCACCAGCACACAGGCACAGAGCCTGGCCCTGCTGTCACAGCGTTACAGGCACATGCCTGGCATATTTTGGAAAGCCTGTCTTGTTCTATTACTAGTGCATGCAAGTTTTGCCCCACTGGCAAATCTCTAAATTTAGATGCTTTTTAGGGTGAACTGTGTGTGACCCTTGTCACAAAGATCAGTTTACACCAGAAGGCACCTTGCTTTTTATTCATGGATTTGGAAGGAAAAGTTGGTACTTATAAAACAGGGCTTGAAGATCACTATATTAATGGAAAATGAATATCTAAGATTTCTGCCTCATATTTCTCAGTAGAAGTTTACCTTGTGCTTTTGTTTGTGGAGATAGCTCTCACCTTCTCTTTGGTCAGGAAGGGCCTCTTTTCCTGCTGCTCTGCCAGTGCCCATGGACTTCTGGATGGCTCCTGGCTCTGTCTCCCATCTTGCTGTGGAAGGACTAGAATTATGGATTCTTGCTTCTGCATCTGCTTTCTGACATGCATTTAAACGTGTAAGTGTCAGCTATTAGACTTGTGTACTGTGGAATAACCCTTCTGTACATTGTGAAGACATGTTTCTCTCATTGTTAATAAAAAGCTGATTGGCCAATGGCTAGACAGGATTTTCTAGACAGAGAGAATGCTGGGGAGTAAAAGGGCTGAGGAGTCTCGAGGAGATGCCGTGAAGTGCACAGCAATCAGGATGGGGAGCTCGTACATGACATACATGAGGCTTGGGGTGGCACATAGATTAATAAAAATCAGTTTAGTTATTTAAAGAGCTAGATAAAAACAAGCCTAAGTTATAGGCCGAGCATTTATAATTAACATTAAGTCTCTGTGTGGTTATTTGGGAACTGACTGGTGGGACAGAAAAGTCTGCCTACACTTGTGTTTATAAGACTTTACTTATGGAGCCACCTCTCCAGCCCTGGATCTAACTCATAAAATAAAACCCGGAGGTAAATTTTCCTTTTTTTCCCCCCAGTAATGTTATGGAGCTGTGTGAAATTAACATAATATAGTTCTAATATAATGTGTTTTTTCCATTTTAATTAGAGAAAAGACTTCACAGTTAAAAATGGCCAACACTTGTAGAGTTGGGGAAACAGAAGCAAGATGATCTCAAATTCAAGGTCAACCTTTGTTATAGAACACGTCCCAGTGGCTTCTGAGAGCAGAATTAGCTGCCCTGGGAACCTGTGTTCAAAATTTCTCTGTTCAAAGTCTCTCTCTCTCTTTGTCTTTGTGTTTGTGTGTGTGTGTGTGTGTCTGTCTGTCTGTCTTTCATCTGTCTCTCTGTCTGTCTTAGGTCTCTTTATGTAGCCTGGCTGTTATGGGATGCTCTATTTTGACCAGGCTGCTCTCAGAGTCACAGGGATTTGTCTGCCTCTGCCTCTTGAGTGGTGGGATTAAAGGTGGGTGCCACTATGCTTTTCTGTCTCTCTTTAAAGATTTACTTTTAGGGGCTGGAGAGATGGCTCAGTGGTTAAGAGCACTGGCTGCTCTTCCAGAGGTCCTGAGTTCAAATCCCAGCAACCACATGGTGGCTCACAACCATCTGTAATGAGATCTGGCACCTTCCTCTGGCATGCGGGCGTACATGGAGGCAGAATGTTGTATACATAATAAAGAAACAAATCTTTAAAAGGGTTTATTTTTATTTTATATGCATGGATGTTTTGCCTGCATGTATGTCTGTATACCACGTGCATACAATGCCCCAAAAGAGGGCATTGGATCCCTTGGGAATATACTTATAGATGGTTGTAAGCTGCCATGTGGGTGCTGGGAACTGACCTGGGGTCATCGAAAAGAGCAATAAGTGCTTTTAACTGCCGAGACATCTTTATAGCCCCTTGTTCAAACTCTTTAAAGAAAATTATATATTTTAGTTAGATTATCAAGTAGTAGATTTCCATATGGCTCTTATCCATACATTCTTGTTTTGGTTGATTATCCTTCCAACCTCTTCCCTCTCTCACCCCTAATTCTATTTAAGTCTTTCCATCCCTCTACTTTCTTTTCCTTTTTAAGGTCTGTTTTAGTTTTTAAATCATACATATGTGTCCGTGGTTTTGTGTGGGAATGTGCATATGAGTGTATGTACCCACAGCAGCCAGAGAGGTGTTGGATCATCTGGAGCTGGAGTTGCAAGTGGTTGTGGGCTACCTGATGCAGGTGCTTTCAACGAGCAGCAACTCTAACCATGGAGCCATCTATGCATCCATCTCTTTCTATTTCGAACCATCAGTCCCTGGTCCACTTCAGTGCACCCAGATATAAGTATCAGGATGCATCCGCAGACCTCCCTGAGACACTCCCACAGGTTCTCTCCCAGTTCACATCCCACCTGGAACACCCGGACAGTCCAATGGGAGGTGTTTTATTATCCATCTCTTCCTAATTTGTGTGTGTGTGTGTTTTTTTCTCAGAGCCCTTAGGAACTTTATATTAGTGTAGAGTACACTTCTCCCTTTCTCTCCCTTCCATATTTCCTTATAGTTCTGGCTTACGGTGTCTCAAACTGGGGACCCACAGTATGCCTGAACTTTTTCTCCTCTTTCCTGGGCAGTTCATTGAGCTTAGGTTCAGAATACAGTGCGCGTATTGACTGCCAGCTGCCAGGGCTATATGCTTATGCAGACTATCTTGCCTCTTGCTAGCACTCATGAAGTCTTCCTTTCTGTAGCAGTTGGAAATGATTGCTTTCCATGAGAGGTTTAATTCTAGATCAGGGCGAACAATATTTGATGTCTCTTTCCCTTTTCTCAGTGTATGGTGTCCCATATCCGGTGCCCCCAAAGGGTCCCTGCTGTATGGGCATTCGCTAAATTTATGGTGATGGTGAAACCTGAGAGGCCCCTTTGTGCCCTGCAGGTCCACAGTAATCTGGAGCAAAGGTTGGGACATGCATGGAACCTACTGAAGCACCTGGATTCTACAGAGGAGCCTGGCAATGGTTGTGCACTTGCAGTCAGTATGGTGGGGGGAGGGGGATGTCATGTTGGTACTAATGTCACCCTCAGACTTTCCTACACTGTAGGAACTCAATCACACGTCCCAGTCTTCTCTTTCCAATTCTTTCATTGTTAATTAACTCTGTTCTTCGACAGTTTCACCCATGTATAGCACACATTCTGATTGTTGTCACCACTCACCCGTTCACACCTCCTTTCCAGTCCCGGCAGCGTCTCTTTCTCTTTATGTTTGTGTTGTGACCCACTGTATTTAACCAGGGTCAGCTGTATGACCCCGGGTTTCTAACAATCCTCTGGAGCCTAGTGAGCTCACCAGAGGTTGCATAACTGGATACAACGACTGCCCCATCCCTTGTAATGTATTAGTAGTCTCTGGTTCATCAGGGAGGGGCAAGGCCTGATGTACTGTTTCCCAATTCGTGTTTGACTGTTGGCACACCCTCCTGTGCAGGCCCAGTGCAGGCTGCCACAACTGCACTGCAGCATTTATGTCATTCCTAGATGACAGCATTGCACAGCCCTTCCCCATCTATTGGCTCTCCTATTCTTCTGTGATGCTGCCTGAGCCTTAGAGGGGGGAACCTAAATGTCCTGCTTAAGACTGAGTGCTCAACTGTTGGTGGAACCTGCTCATTTGTTTCCCACCTGCCCAGACCCGAAATAATCACACGGAAACTATATTAATTGCAAAACTGCTTGGCCAATGACTCCAGCATATTCTTAGCTAGTTTATATCTTAAATTAACCCATTTCTACTATTTTATATTTTACCACAAGGCTCATGGTTTACCAGCAAGGTTCCGGCTGGCTGCTCGAGTCTTTCTCCTCCAGCAAGGCATCTCCTGACTCCGCCTACTGTCTCTCTACATCTCTGTTTGGATTTCCTGCCTGGCGTTATTCTGCTAAACCATTGACCGAAAGCAGCTTTATTCATTAACCAATAAAAGCAACGCATCACTCAACCATCACTTATGCTCAGTGCCTTGACCAGTGGTGAGTTTGCATTCACTAAATGCACTGTTTACTTCAGAGCAGTTTCTCTAAGGCTCAGAGTGGCATTTGTCTACATATATCAACATTTAGAAGACAGTTTGGTGCCATGTGAGATTAGCTAAACAGCAAGTAGTAAGTTACCCCTCTTATAACATTCCCAGCATTGAGTTTTTGAGGGGTTTACAGTACCAGGCCTGTATTCCCTTCTGTGGAGCCGGCCACAAATGCAAGCAGAGGATGGATTCTTATTCCTATAATAGTCGTGCTACTATCACAACGTTGAGCATATCTTGCCAAGTGGGTTGGTACTGTGCTCCGAGGGTTCATAGCTGGGGAGATTGTTGTCATTTCTCCAGCAGCCTATACAGCACATTCCAGCCTTATGACCTAGCCAGCAAGGAGGAGGCCGCTAGTTCACTTCCATCTTGACTTCTCTATACCTTACATCCAAGTCGTGTGGTGTCTTCAACAATATCATCTTAACATCAAATTCTGATGGTAACCAAGAGGAATGGCAAGTACATGTATTGCTTGGTGGCTTCTGGGCTTCCATGGCCAACAACTCAAAAGGAGGTATTTCACATCTGGCACAGGGTTTTTTGTTCATTAGCCCATGACTTCTAAGCCCATGCAGGCTCTCTCTCTCCCATCTTAAACGGTTAGATATATTATATTCTTTTTACTTAGGTATATGTGTGCATGTTTTGTGAATGTATGTCATATATGTGCTTGGACCCACAGAGGCCAGAAGAGGTTATTGAATCCCTTGGAGTTGGAGTTACAGGAAGTTGTGAGCTACTTGGCATGCATATTGGGAATGGAGCTTGGGTCCCCTGGATGGGCTTGGCTTACAAAGTCATAGGTTTCTATGGTGCTTTTTCATATACCTTTTGTTCTGGTTAATTTAGCTCCTCTTCTTACCTCATACACCCATCTGTTAAACCCTTTCATGCTAAGTCCCCTCTTATATCACCATGTTCAACTGTCTGTCCTCCCTTAGGGCATCTGACTCCCTCCTTAGCCTCTTTCTAGTTTCCTGGTTTTTTACAAGTGTTCTCATCTAAAAACACAAAGAGATTTGAAGCTAAGATGCCCAAATGAGAGAACACACAGTATTTGTCTTTCTGGGCCTGGGTTACCTCTCTCAGTGTAAAAATTTCCAGTTCTACTAATTTCAGAATTTCATTTTCTATAGCACTGAACAAGATTCCATTGTGTAAAATATGAAATATATATTTTTTGAGACAGGGCCTCACTTATGTATCCTTGGCTGGCCAGGAGCTCAAAGAGTTCCTCTGTGTCCCAAGTGCTGGGATTACCGGCATCTATCACCACTCCCGTCTTCTTATCTTTTAAAAAGAGACAGCTTGGCTTGTTTCTTTATTTACAGTCTCTATTTCAGCCAAATCTATATTAGTAAGAACATGTTGTAAGGTAAAAATTAATATATCAGTTTGAATTTTAACAATAGAGAGAGCTGCTTTGGGGCATTAAGGTTGTTTTGGGTCACATAACATTTTGATTAATGAGTTGTCGAAATTTCATAAGGAAATGAAACTTGGTAGTCTGGCTTTCACCAGGTGTTTATATGTGGTCATGTATGATTATACTGTCTGGCAAGGCTGGTCAACATTTTAGTTAAATGTATTCTTGTGTTACTGGTAAATGAATGGGGAAGTAAAATGCGGAACAGATGATTACCATGGGCAGGAAGCAATCGAAAGGCAAATCAACATTGTTCTCGACTTGGTCCTTTGCATTATTATTATATTTTTATAATATACACTATATATGCTTTAGGGCAATGCCCTTTGAACCACCACTTAGTTATTCAGCGAATCATTGCTGATACATCTTGAGTCCCAGGGAGGACCATGTATTTCTGCCCTAGTGTGGAAAGATCCTGCAGTTTAAGTGAGTTTGCAAATAAGAAAGTGAGAGGGCTATTGCTCGGGGCCAGGCTTCTGTCTTTGAGAGTGGCTGTTTTGCTACTGTAATTGTGTAATTGTGAGGTAGAATGTTGAAGGAGGGATAAGTAACAGCAAACTTCCTGAGTTTTAGCAACTATGTAGCTCTGGGTGAAGTGGGGTGTAGATAGAGACACAACTTGGAGCACAAGCCAGTAATTGATTGCAAAAATGGGTTCCTGGGTAATGAGGGGATGAGGCTGGACCCTGGGCTATGCTACTGCTCGGCTCTGACTTGTGTGGGACAGTGGCTTTTAGGCTGTGCCTTGTCCTGGGTGTCTACCAAAGCAGCAGTTGGCTCAATGATTTTTCCTACCAGTGTCCCAACTATAAAATTAAGGAAATTAGAAACACATGTCACATAGGCGTATTATGTCAATGCAAAAACAGAGCTCTCACCTCAGAGGAGTAAGAAACAGTTTACTCTGGAGCTGGTCTGGGACATGGATTAGGTTACTCCAAACACCACACTCTAACATGGTAACCAGTTCATGAAGAGTTTACAATTGCAGCAGAAAAGAAAGTAATAAATCAAGGCACTTTTCACATATGTAAGTAAGAACACCAAGTGTGTAAATGAATGTGGTGGTTGAAAGAGAATGGCCGCCATGGACTCGTGTATTTGAATGCTTCAGTTTGTGAAGAGCTTGAGAAGGATTTGAAAGAATAAGAGGTATGGCCTTTATGGAGTAAGTAAGTGTGACCTTGTTGAGGGAAGTATGTCATGAGGGGTGGGCTTTGAGGTTTCAAATGTCCACACTAGGCCCATACACTCTCTCTGGCTGCCTGTGGATCAAAATGTAAAGCTCTCAGCTACTGCACCAGGGCTGTGTTTGTCTGCTTCCCACCATGGTGATAACTGACTAACTGTAAGCAAGTGCCCAATTAAACGCTGTCTTTTCTAAGATTTGCCTGGGTCATGGTGTCTCTTGACAGCAATAGAACACAGGTTAAGACAGTGAGTTGCAGCAAAGTGGGTAAGTCTCTTATCTGGTGATATTTTTAATTGGGGACTGATGGAAGATAGTGGTCCGTTAACTTAATATGGCTCAGCATATTTTGATTGTCCCACTATTGCTAAATATTGATTTTGATAAGGATATAAGGTGAGATGCAGAGGTCTATGGAGATCTCTGCAAACACCATGGCCAGTAAAGTGTTGGTCCATGTACGGTAAGAAGGGAGTCTGGTTCAACATGACTCAGTAGCTGGTGTTGGTTCAAACATCAAGAGTCTGACACTAAGCAATTTATTTTAGGCAAAAGTAAGCACAACACAATTTGGAAAAAACTTTCCTGGTGATAATTAACTTAAATCCTGTGTGTATAGCAAAGCTTAAGACATGATTACATTGAAACTCTTTGTAAAGTACATGTAACATCTATAAAACTGATTTCTATAGATTGACTGAGAAACAATGCTTGAGATAAGGGTCTAGGGAGGATGACTGGTAGTTTGAATGAAAATGACCCCATAGGCTCATAGGGAGTGGCACTATTTGGTGGTTTGTCCTTGTTGGAGTAGCTATGTCACTGGGGGTGGGCTTTGAGGTTGCAGATGCTCAAGCCAGGCCCAGTGTCACTCTCTTCCTGCTGCCTTCAGATCCAGATGTAGCACCCTCAGCTACTGCATGCCACCATGCTTCCTGTCATGATGACAGTGGACTAAACCCCTCCTCCAGCTCCTCAGTTAAATCTTTCCCTTTATAAGAGTTGTCATGATCATAGTTCACTAAGACAACTGATATAAAGGTTTGAGAGAGCTAGGTGTATCCTGCCCATACCGATAGCACAGATATCACCAGATTATTAGCCACACCCCACTCCTAGCCTTCTGGGTGGAAAAAAGGTTATACAATTCCTTTTTTTGAAGAGATAATCCAGCGTGTTCTGTGTGTTCAACATTACTAGTTTACCTAGTGCTTATCTGTGGGGAAGGATTTCATGCCCTCTACAGAGGTCAGAAATGAATGGTTATTAAAGGTAATTAAGACAATTTGGGTTCAGGAGCTGGAGAACTGACCCAGAGGTTAAGAGTACAAAGGACCTAGATTTGGTTCCCCGAACCGACATGATGGTTCACAGTCATATGTAGCTCCAGCTCCAGGGGACCCAATATTTTCTCTGGTCTCCGCTGGGCTTATGGGGTACATATACATATATTCCAGCAAAGCACTCATATGCATAAAATGAAATTAAATAATTATTAAATAATAACTTGGGTCCATATATACAACATTCCACTCTCCACGATCGTGGTGATGGTGGTGGTGGTGCGGCTGCTGTTGCTGATTCTCCTTCTCGCCCTTCTTTTTCTTCTTGTCTTTTTGAGACAAGATTTCTTTATTATGCAGCTCTGGTTATCCTGGGACTCACAATGTAGATCAGGCTGGTCTCGAATTTACAGAGATCTGCCTGCCTCTGCCTCCTGAGTGCTAAGATTAAAGGCTCATTTTGGCAGTTCTAATCAGTTAATTGGATTGTAGGATCTTTAACAGGTTTGGACTTTGGAGGAGGGAAACTCGGTATATGGATTCCGTTGCTTTGCCAGCTTCACCTTTTGTGCATATGGAGGTCAAGCTTTATGTTCCAAGGTTTTAGAAAGGATTAGGTCCCTAGGATCTGTAGAGTTGATGCTGAGTATGCAGGGAAGGAGAACATTAAGGAAAAACTTCTTGATGATATTAAATATATCAACCATCATGATCTAAGTATGATTTTTAATTTTTTGTACCTTCTGTATCTGACATAACATTGACATGTGATGGGAGTATTAAATCTGAACTTAAAATAATCAGGAGCACAGCATGGCTAAAAGGTAAAGGCAGTGGATAAAGGAAACTGGCATTTTAAACAACCACACACTATATTGTTTAACCAGACTGACTATATGCTTTTCCTATGCATACAGTAGTTATTTGTATCTTATGAATTTTTTTGGTATTTGGGATATTTGAAAAAATTTATTATCTTCTCATTTTAATTTTTCTTC